GTTAACTGGATATTTTATCTTATCGCGTGCAAAGTCACGTTAAAAACGCAACGCGTGCTGTTTGTTTATGGAGCTCCGTGCTAGAGTTCTGCTCCCGCGATTTATTCGGAAATGTATTCCCGCGCCGCAGAAATCTGGCGCGGGGACAGCCGCGGGAATAAATTTCCGAATAAATCGCGGGAGCGGTCGGTAACGGGTTTAATTTGGGACGGGAGCGGGCTGTCTAGCAATATCACGGATATTGCTATGCGAATTAGAAAGAGAGAGTCTGCGTGGTGCTTGTGTGTGTGTGTTAGTGCGCACGCGCGCGTATGAGAGAGAGCGAGAGAGCGAGCGAACGAACGAACGAACGAGCTTTGTGCTGTGTGTATACAGACAGCTTGGCTGTCTGGACTGTATACTGGGTGATTTTTGGTTGTGTTCTTTGCTCTAGCGGGACCGGGCGCGGCGGGCAGAAAACGGAGCGGGTTCTCAGGCTAAAACCTGGCGGGTGCGGGCGGAAGCGGGAGCGTTGTCATCCGGAGGTGTGTGTGTGTTTTTGTGTGTGTGTGGTATGGCGAGTACACGACTGTCTCCTTCGTTCGGTTATCCGTGGCACTATCCACTCGCCATAGTGTGGCAGCTAAAATCCACGTCTACAATATCGAGCGTGTATGAACTGTGATTACTTTTATATTGCTGATTAGCTATTGGCCATTTCCCTCTCTGACTGAAGGCAGTCGACCAATCGCGACAGACTGTCATCGGTCCAATCAGCGCAGATTAGCTCCGCGCTAAGGAGGGGTTTGGGAACAAATGAATCACTGGACGATTCATACGGGAGTCGCTGGGATAATTAGCTAAAAATAAATGCAGATTATAAGACCATGAAAGTGTTTTTTGACCTTGCATGCATATTAGACTGTTGTTGGAGACTCTTACAACCAGGATATGACCCTATTTCATGTATAATATGGGCTCTTTAAAGCTCTTGATGGGGGCGTTCACCTAGACTAGAATCCCACCGTGTCTTTAGTTTTGTTTTTTTATAAGCTTTTTGCCGCTCTTAGTAAACTGGTTAAACCATATTTCTGAATTTTCATTGGCAATCTTAGCACTCATATGAATTTGTTTTGGGTTAATTTAGAATTTCCAATAGAGCCTCAGGGATCAAGAGAGACTTTGACTTCTCTCGGATCACTTTTCTGTGAGTTCATGCACACTGACGATGCCAGTCAGTAGCCCCTTTCACACAGTGGTACCGGTAAATATCAGGAAAATTTCCGGAACGACTTTACTGCCCTGTTCACAAAGGCGAGGACGTTACGGATTTTTTCTGGAAAACAGCATTCACTCAACCATTTCAAAAATACTGGTCAATTCTGACATTATTAACCAGAAATGACCTCTTAATGGCTGCGCTTGTACTTGTAAACATTTGACTACATCACAAACTCTGTGGATGGATCAGTATTGTGAACAACTTCGATGAATCTTTTTCGCTTGTCGAGTAATACATAATATGAGAGTGTGCGTTTGCGCGTCAGAACTTGAAGATAAACAAACAACGGCTTATTATAAGCATTTTATCGATTTCGTTTTACAGCCCATTCACACTGGACTTCAGCGTCAACGCTTGATAGAGGGCATGTCTGAAGTTGGGGCTGACGCGATAATTGGTGAAATTAGTCCGCAATCGACTACTGACTTAGCTAGTGATGTGCATAAACGACCTGATTGGCTGACGCATCAGTTGCCACTTGAAAAGTTGAGAAGTTCCCAACTTCTGCAGCAAGCAACGCCACTGAAGCAGTGCTAACAGATCCACAATGCAGTTTGGCAACAGCTTGACGTCACCCATTCAAAGTGAATAGGAAGCGTTGATGCCCGATGTGAATGGAACGTTACCAATTTGGCATTAAAAAGGAACATAGAAACGTGTTCTGACTAACATCTAGCAGCTAGAAAAATATTCACAGGCTTTTATTCTCATAAACCGCACAGACGTGAATGTGTGTTCTGATTGGCTAAAGTAGATGCCTTACATCAGCGCATTCTAGACGTGAATGCGCTCTTTCCAGCAATCTTCCTTCTGCGTTCACACAGCGCAGCATTCCGGCAAATTACGGTAATGTTACAACTGCTCTTTCCGGAAAATAGCCAGAACAAATTTACCAGTATTATTAAAAAGGACCTGTTCGCACATACAGACTTTTCCAGAAAATTGTCTGTAATTTTCCGGAAAGGTCTGTATGTGTGAAAGGGGCTAGTGTCTGTTCATGCAAACAGAACACAATATAGATGTGACTCGCCTTGGTGGCACTTCTCATGGAAAAGGCTCTTTGCCATATTTTATTGAAATTGTACTTCTCTCCCTGGCGATATTGTTGTGTTTAGAGGGGTACAAGATAGCAGCTTGATACAACCTCGTCTACTGCAGCAAGGCGGTGGTGGAGTGTTTGAAAATCGTACACCGACACGCACCATTTTGAAACAAATTAAAACAAAAGATTAAAACATTTGAAGTAAACAGGAGCCTTTAGAGCTAAACTCTGAAGTGTACCTGACCAGACGCGGCAAGCACCACTAAATCGCGTGTAAATATACACGTGAACATTGAGTTTACTCGCTTTATTTGCGCATCAAATCCACTTCATTCGTGCGTCAAATTCACTTCACAACAGACGCTCCGCTGTGAGTCGCATCCAGTTTTTCCCATGACTAACCAACAAATGTCAACTTTCCTGTTTCGGTTGACTATAGATTAGTTGACTATTAAGGCCAATATATACTTTGTCAAGTTGTTTTGCCCTCACTGTGGGTGTAGGTTGCTCCGCTCTCGAAAAATGTAACTACGCGTCACAACGACACATAGCGCAAGCTTTGATTGGTCGGCATGGTGGCTGCGACAAGTGTGGCTAGTGCTGAGAGCCGCGAGCTCAATGGAGCGAGTGTTTAAACGAGTTACCCGATGGAGCTCCAGATGAAAACTGTTGTTTTGTGTTTACCTTATGATTAAAATTGTCGCATGTCTGACGGTTCCCAGACCGACTTTTAGCTACTTGTACATTTTGTAAAACAAAACACACACAAAGAAACTCGACGCAGAGGAACATGACCCACTGCCAGCTAGCGCTTCAGAAGTGTTGTTGCAGAGCAACACAAACAGCATGCAGAAATATAAATGCACAGCTACGCCCAAGGCAAGCGCCAAGAGTCAAACCATGATGGGTTTCTGTCAGCCCGGTGACTCTAGCTTCGCTGCTAAATGGCTAACATGGATTTTATTAAGAGAATAGCTGTGTTTATGTGCTTTATGAAGGCTGAAAAACAGCATTGATATGTTTGACGCCGTGTCTGAGTCCACTAGATCAGTGGTTCCCAACCTTTTTTTTTTTAACACCTCCTTGTCCCATGGAAAATATTGTAAGGCCCCCCTCAACATTTAATGATATTATCGCTCGTATAAGTTTGCACTTTACTGTAAGGATGAAAAAATAAATAATTTCAAACATAAAGTTTGTTTATTTTTATATCTAGATATGTTGACGCACAAATAATAGCCTAATGTAAAATATAAAAGCAAAACATCAGTAGGTCGTAGGTAACTGAAAAACATAAGCCTTTGGTATTTAAATCGGCCCTATATTAGTTGCCAATTTTATAAAAGTTTCTCGTCAGTAGCTGTGACGTCCTTCATCTCATTTAGGGTGTGCGTCAATTCTTTTGCCTTGCGCTCAAAAAATGCCTTGCGCTCTTGCGACTCTTTGCTTGGAGAAAATGGGATAAAACCCATAGTTCAGGTAACTATTTTGGCATTTCCTGCATTTTGCTGTTGCAGAACTTATTTTAAAATGCGGAAGTGCGCCTGTTTTCGCGATTGTCCTAGAACTTCAGATTCAGTCGCCTATGGGAGAAATGACTAGGAATAATAAACGGCAGAAAACGGTCAAACTACTTGCTCTACAAACAAATGTTTGCATAACTATACAGACCAAGTAGAATAATATAATAAGAAAATATCAAACTGCGACATCAAGCAGCGTAATGATCAGTTTCTAACGTCAAAAAATAAATGGAAGTGAATGAGATCGGAAGTCTTAAGACAAAAAGATTCAAATGGCAGCGCCCACTCGTCGGCGCAGAATAAGGTGAATAGCTAGCGCTGCGACCTGTTTGGAGTTTCCTAACCTGGTTCCAGAATGCTTGGGTCAATAGTATTAGCTGCTGGAGGCGAATCAGTGAGACTCTTTTTTTGTGGAGGAGGAATTACAAATTTGTCAATTTTTTTGGGTCAGCCAGGGGATTAAATGAACCAAGCAACATGATTGTTCTCCTAATTGTCCACGGCTAAAAAAAAAACCCCACAAAGCTCACTAAGGCCCCCTTGTGGGCCGGGACCTCCCTGTTGGGAACCGCTGAACTAGATCCTTTCAGAGGTGCACCCAGCTCTGAGTTCATAAACTCCTTCAGAAACTATACCTGGATGATGGAGGGTTTCTGACTGAGCCGAGCCCAGTTTGATAAACTGGGGTACGGTGTCGGCAGGAGGATTTTCCCTCGGGACACCAACTACAAGCGCTACGCCATTAATACGCCTTCACAAGAGCAAGCTCCTGTTTGGGTAATGCGGCGCGAATGTCCGCTGAAGTTTAGATTTTTGAACTTGAGTGATTCGCCTGAAACACGCAATACGCTCATCGATCGCGCTAAACGCTCAACTCGCGCTGTTTCATTCGCGTGAATCGCGCCGCAGGATATCTATTTGTGTCTTTACATTAACTTTACATGTAAATCACTTGCGCTTGATGTTTCTTCCGCTTCTGGTGTGAACACAGCGTAAGATTTACCCTCCATGACAACAAAAACAAATATTATTGCTTTTCAGGGGAAACTTTTTCAAGAAAAAAGAACCAATACTGAGCCGTGTCGCACTCCATAGTTTGGATGTTCTGTGGGGGTTTTCATTTCTGCCGTTTTGTGCCTTCAAACTGGGGTTAACTAGTGTTTTTTCACTTTAGGGTCGATGGCGCTGAAAGAAGAAACTCGGGAACTGAATAAAATGGATGAGAAAGATCAGAAATCCCTAGTTATGATGACTGACGAAAACCCCCCAGTGACAAAAAGCACTTCGTGCGAAACAGCCGAGAAAAGCAAATGTACCTGTTCTCAGTGTGGAAAAACTTTTAGTCTAAAACAAAGCCTTAAAATTCACATGAGAACTCACACTGGGGAGAACCTTTCCACATGTGAGCACTGTGGAAAGAGTTTCAATACAAAGGCAAGATTTGAAAAGCACATGAGAACTCACACCGGAGAGAAGCCTTACTCCTGTGCTGAGTGCGGAAAGAGATTCAGTCAAAAGCACTGCCTTGAGGTGCACATGAGAGTTCACACTGGGGAGAAGCCTTTTGCCTGCCAGCATTGTGGAAAGAGATTCAGCCAATCACAAAATCTTAAAGTTCACATGATGGTTCACTCTGGAGAGAAGCCGCATACCTGCCGAAAGTGTGGAAAGAGTTTTTCAAAAAAGCATTTGCTCAGGTCTCACATTATCCATCACACTGGAAAGAAGCCGTTCACGTGTGGTCAGTGTGGAAAGAGTTTTATACGCAAGGATTACCTCAGCCAGCACATGAAAATTCACACAAAAGAGGACTCTTTTACGTGTTTTCAGTGCGGAAAGAGTTTTATACGGAAGGATTACCTCAGCCAGCACACAAAGATTCACACGAAAGAGGAATCTTTTGTATGTTTTCAGTGTGGAAAGAGTTTCGGTAGCAAAGCGGGTTTTGAAAAGCACTTGAGAGTTCACTCCAAAGAGAAGCCTTACTCTTGTGCGGAGTGCGGCAAGAGTTTCAGTCAAAGGCAAAACCTTAGAGTGCACATGAGAATTCACACCGGAGAGAAGCCTTTTGCCTGCGAGTACTGCGGAAGGAAATTCAGGCAATCACAAACCCTTAAATATCACATCACCGTTCACACTGGAGAGAAACCCTACACTTGCTCTCAATGTGGACAGAGTTTTGCACAGAAAAACGAACTGAGACACCACATGAAGATTCACAGTGAAGAGAAGCGATTCCCTTGCACGCAGTGCAATAAACACTTCAAACGTAAAAACTCCCTTGTTTGCCACATGAGGACTCACACTGGAGAGAAGCCGTTCTCGTGTGTTCAGTGTGGAAAGAGTTTCACCAAGGAGTTTCACCTTCGGTGTCACATCATCGGTCACTCTGGGGAGAAACCGTTCGCATGCGATCACTGTGGAAAGAGTTTTGTGCGCAAGGATCACTTTGACAAGCACACAAAGACTCACTCTAAAGAGAAATCTTTCATATGTGATCAGTGCGGAAAACGTTTCACGTGTAAAGACTACCTTAACCTGCACAAGAAGATTCACACTGAAGATAAATCGTTCATATGCGGTCAGTGTGGCAAGAGTTTTATACGTAAAGATTACCTCACCCAGCACATGAAGATTCATGCAAAAGAGATCGCATGTCATCAGTGTGGAAAGAGTTTCACCCAGAAAAGGAGCCTCAAATTACATATCGCCGGACATTCAGTTGAGTTCTGTAAGTCTGGCTGCAATAACAATCCTCTAGATTTGCCTAAGTGAGCATTTCTTTTTTTGCCCAGCCGATTAATCCAGAAGCAGCTTCTCCACATCTCCGTTTACATTATGGTTGTTTACTCCACTGAAATGCCTGAAAAGACTTGGCCTGTGTTTAAAATCGCCTTCCCTCCATACCCCTTAAATAGAGAAGAATTTGAGCAAGCAGCCATCTCTAGTGGCGTTCAAAATTCTAATTCGCTCACTCATTTTCATTCGCCCCTTCAAGTGGACGTATGTAAGGAATAGTGAATGAGGATATAGGGGGTTATTTTGTGGTGGTCATGGAGAATTGGTCACTGATAGAGCCCAGTGACAGACGAGTCTCCACACTGATGCCGTGGACCTGCCTGTACACCACCCGGTGACCGTCTCACACCTGCAGCTTCTCCACATTGGACATCCAAGGTACATCCAGAGGAGAAATGGTCATGCCCTACTAAGCCTGGTTTGTCTCAAGGTTTTTTTTTACCTTTCGTCAATTGGTGAAGTTTGTTCCTTGCCACTGGCTTGCTTGGTTTGGAACTTGTGGAGCTGCGCATTGATGGATTTGCTCTTCAGTGTTTGGACTTTCCGCAGTGAAATTTAAACCAAACAGAACTGGACTAAGCTGAACTTCAACTCTGAAAACTGAACTGACGCAATTTACTAGAACTTCTATGTTAAGCTATTTGACGCAATCTACATTGTAAAAGCGCTATAGAAATAAAGATGAATTGAATTGAATAATTGTAGATAGGTTGATTTGGTATTGCAAAACAAGACGATCATTGCAGCACGTAATTGGATGCCAGTTATTTAGGTTCACCTGGGTTTTGTGTTGTTTATAGTGTATATTATCTTCAGGGCTTTACATTAACACCCACCAAATGGGGGTAGATTTCGGTTGTGGCGGGTTAGACAGCCACTCCCACTAGCCAATTTTGCTGGCTGAAACTCATTTTTAAATTGCCAGTGCTGGCTCGGCGTCACTAGATTAGACTGTTAGTTTCGGACCGTTTGTCTATATGCGTACAAATGTGATCTTAGAATCGAGACTGACAAAATCAGCTTTTCACGCGAGCAAAAGAAATCAGGTGAATAACGAATTAGAGGATCATGCGCACGGTGACACAGGCTTTCCTCACTCACTGACGAGGGTGTCGCAAGCACAGATGGTTTGATGCACGCAAGTGTTTAAAAGCTCCTGTGCCGTTTCCTCACTCGAAGCAACTGTGCCCTGAAAACGCAACTAGTTCGATGCTCGTGCACCCACAGTCCTTCAAGGGGTCGAGATTCTTTGTAAGCAGCAGCAGTTGTTACCGCTTTCGCTTTAACCATTCTTTGAACAGGTTATTAATTGGCCGAACCATGTGCGCAGGATCATCCTTTCATTATTGCGCACGGATTGTTTTTCACCCGATTTCTTTTGCTTGCTGTTATTTTTGTTAATATAGTTTAATAATCATCCTTTACGATATTATTGCTTTAATATGTTGTTGTATGCATGGTTAACTGGTGATCTGGGATCTTGAGCCAAATGTATACATATAAAATATATTTTCTCAACAACAAATTGTGGCTAGTGAAAATGGCGAGTGGCTAGTAACCGTGGAAAACTACTAGCCACAGTGGCTGGTTATCAAAAAAGTTAATGTCAAGCCCTGATTTTACCTATTAGGGCAGTCACAACTGGAATCATTTAGTCCTGTTGAGTTGAGGATAGCAGATCTGCAAAAGGACCCTCAAAGACAAATAAAATGAGCAAATCGTAAGAAGTGCCTGATGTCGAGACTGTACAAGATGCTGAATCAACAACCTTTTAATGGGCTGATTTAATTCCCAATGCAATAATTCTTTACCTCGGCTCTCTGTGTCTGGAAGTCCCTTGGACATCAAGGACACCAAACCAGTTCCAACTAGCACCAAGGACAAAGAAAGCATGTTTGCTTTATACCACAAAACGCCAAGAAACATACACCACACACTCTATATTCATCCAGGGAAATGTGCACCCACAGTAGAAATACCATCTGGAATAATAACCAACATGATCTCACCTCCTGACACACAAAATTGAGTGTTACCTCAACCAATTCAGAAGTTCGGGACAAGTACATCACAAGAACTTTGAAAAAGGTGTTAAAAAGAAATGGACTGAACCAAGATCCTACAGATTTAACTGTGTATTTTGGGATAAGACAATAGGGAATGGTGGGATGTCATGGGCATACACCTGAAGAGCAGTGACCCAATAATATCACTGCATTTTGAATGGTTCGATGATCAGTCTCTATTTCAGCCGGAAGGAATAAAAGCTTTCCCATGTGGACACTCCTCTTATCTGAGGTTCTGCATGACCTGGAAAGAGACAACCGTACGTAAATTTACCCAGCACAGTTCTTTGGCTGCACACGTCTTTTGCCTTGGATTCAAATTACGGGCACCATCTCTAAGATCCCAAAGACACTGTTTTATTTAACAGTATTTTGGTAAAAGGGGAACAAGCTCCACACAATAGAATGGTGGGATGTGATGGCATACACCTAAAGAGCAATGACCCAATCACACCTCTACATTTTGAAAGGCGAGAATGGTCAATCCCTCCTCCAGCAGGAAGGAATAAGTTACATAAGATTTAAGTTACGCACACCTGACCTTCAAGACTTCTGCAAGTGCACTCTTGTCAACAAGAATCTGTGCGTCTTCCCTAATCCAACCTAGGGTTTTCTGGATAACAAAAGGTTCTTCAGTGACGAAACAATGCAGCACAGACAGCGCTCAGTTTTTTACTCCAAGCAACCAAGATGTCCAGTGTAAAGGACACACTATCACTGGACTGATCGCCTGACTATTTGAAAAAATAGGCTTATCGTATCTCTTTTTAATGACCCTGGCGTTAGGTTTTGATTATTTATGATTGTTTCTTGTTCAGAGACTTAATTTACGGTCAGTTCATAACAGGTAGACCTCAGATATATGAGGCTAGCTGTAATGACAACAACTGCAGAGTTACTATCCACCCCAATGCAATTTCCCTTCAGTACTGCCATAAAATGATCTCAGTCGTTCGTCCAACCCCACAATGTTAGTAATTTGACTTAAGTTCAGTTAATGCAGTTGGTGTTAGTTTGTAGTTATTCCCGATTGTAAATATTTAGTCATTTTGCATAAGTAGTGTGCCTCTTTTGCTACTATGTCTTGACCATAGGTCAATAATAAGGTCAATACATGTATTTTTATTCCAACTGGATTCTTTTTGTGTTGACAAGAGGCTAAACAAAAAGTACCAAACCTGTTCCTGGACATCTACCTTCCTGTAGAGTTAAGCTTCCAACCTTGATCAAACACACCTGTCCTGATCCTACTTAGTTGGTGTAGTTGTGTTTGATAAGGGTTGGAGCTGGACTCTGCAGGAAGGTAGAACTCCAGGAATATGTTTTAATACCCTTGCTCTATAACCTAACAATATCAACTCTTTCATAAAATAACTCGTTTCTTGTTTTGACAGATTTGAGCAACCATAAACAACGCAAAACATGATCATTTTGAAGATCTGTTAGTGATTGCTTTATTATTACCTGTTGTCCATCTGAATTTAACATTGCAGGGATGATGTCATGTGCAACCCATTCCCAAAAGGCTTATGTTGCCACCCTTATGAGCCACTCCTGGAGGGCGGGTGTCATGCAGAGTGTATCTCCAATTTGCCTAAACACACGTGTTTGGAAGTTTCTAGTGTACCTAGTAAGAGCTTGATTAGTTAGTTTTAGGGTTAGATCTAAACTCTGCACGAAACCGGCTATCCTGGTCCAAGTTTGGGCACAACTGATTTAGGTTTCAAAGGGGTGAAAATCCTCTGCCTTCAGAACCAGAGAACATCTCAGAGTCCGAGGCAGATGAGAGCATTTCTAAGGCATCAGGGGCTCTCGCACTGGGCCCTTCAGACAAGGCAGTAATTCCAAGAGCAGCAGAGACCTCCAGTCTACAACATAGGTTGCATTTCGCACCACCTTTAGACATGCACTAACAGACTTCCTTTCACTTGTTCCCTCAAGAAATCTCCAATGCCATTTTAAAGTGTGTTCCAACTCATTAAATGAACGAGGGAAGCTTACATGGACGAGCTCTCGATCCTTTGATTTTGACAGGAAGCGAGTCGGTTTCATTTGTTCACCAGGGAACTACACTACACAACAGTGTTGTTCCCAGGTGTTCAAGGGTTTAGGGCATTCAATTTAAACCCATTCAGATGTTCTGGAAAATTGGCCACAAGGCTGCTCAAATTTATCCATGAAACCTCCAACAATAAATTTGTCAGTGTTTTAGTTTCATCGTCCAACCCCTGCCTTGTATATAATAAAACGGAAATAAATAGCCTCTGATTATGCTTTGCAAGATCTCCTTAACTAGATGCTATTGTAGTCTGAAATACAACCACACCTGTAACTTTCAGGGCTGTATTTTGACAGGGTTTGCAAAGGCTGTTAGGAGGCCATGATGGACAGAGGCCAGTGGGTCAATTTGTTCAGGGTGCCGGGGTTTAACCCCTACTCTTTTTCGAAGGACATCCTGGCATTTTTAATGACCACATAGAGTCAGGACCTTGGTTTAATGTCTCAATTGAAGGACGGTACTCACTGAGCAGTATAGAGTCCCGATCAATATATTGGGGTGTTAGGACCCACACAGACTTCAGGTTAAGCGCACCCTGCTGGCCTTACTAACACTACTCCCAACCGCAACTTAGCTTTCCCATGTGGTCTCCCATCCAGGAACTAACTAAGCTCAGCCCCGCTTGGCTTCAGTGGGTGACCAGGTGAAAGCTAGCTGCTGGCTAACATCATTATTTAACAAATTTACCTGATTACAAGCACTAAATTGCAACTTTTCTTAACTGTCGACTGGTACCTGCTTCTGTTTCCTTTTTAAGGGTCCGCGAGTTGGTGCTCATGTGGCAGCTGTACCTTGATGGCTGAATGACTGAAAGATATGACCTCCGATTTGATGTACGGCGGTGTGTCATAGGCATGTCAAATATTTGCCTTTTGGAAATTGAAAGCTAAAAAGCTTGCGACTTAACTTTGTTTTGGTATGAAAGCTTCATTGTTTCAGTCTTTGAATGCAAACAGTCGGTGAGTTGGGGTGGAATCAACCACCTCAAAACGCTCTTATTCATGACTAATTTATTCATTTAACATTCAGCACAATGACGTTAAAATGATCACTGCGGTTGCTTTCTTTTCTCGGTGTATACCATCTCTTTTGTATACATGTAGTCTCTTTGAACTGGGGTTAACTGATGTTTCTTCACTTTAGGGCTGATGGTGCTGAAAGAAGAGACTCAGGAACAGTATAAAATGGAAGAGAAAGATCAGAACGAGGAACACCAAGATTTCTTACCTGATGAACCATCCTCAGTGACAAAAAACTCTTCATGTGAAAGTGCTGAGCAAACCAAATCTAGCAGTTATTTCCCTTGTCAGGAGTGTGGAAAACCTT